TGGCTTAGTTATATCACTCAAAACTCGTTCCCGTTTGTCTCATTTGATTAAAAGGGAATCGTTAATGTTTTCATTAACACAGTATTGCCTTGATTTTCTAATATTTACAATGATAGACAGTAAATTTCACTTTTCACCCACATTTACTTCCAACCTTTTCTTTTGAACCAGAAACAAAAATGATAGATGTTTAAAACACATGACATCATCCGCCCTTGTCAAATATAATAGCATGATCATTTCAATTGTAATGCCTTCTTATCCCAACGTTGCTTTGTTTCTTTGCTACATCAGCGAACACCGAACTACTACTCGTACTCTGGATATGACAATCAACCACAAAATTCCCTAAACCATAATCTAAAAAATCATGTGTCAATTCACGAGTTTGCTCACAGAGCACTTTGATTATCGAATAGCACTGTGACATCGTCCTGTAGTTTTCCATACTATTAGTCGATCGCCTATTTTCTAGCAGGGTCATATTGTGCAAAAAAACTTTTGCATCTTTTTTATTTTCAGCGGAAATTATCGTCAGAGTCTTAAAAATCTGCTCATCTGCTATTGTCCATGAATTCACATTCCAAGTCTGTTTCGTACTCATCAACCTGCGTTGCTTCAAGTCAAACGTGTTAGAACTAATTTCCTAACACTTGTCGTTCAGTTGACTATTTCTTTTATTCTCTCCTTTATTACGCAAGTTATTACAACGGGGACTAGCTCCGATCTCTCTAGGAAAGTGTGTGTCACCGTTTATAAAGGTGACACTTACGGAGCTGTCAGTCTCTAACCTTCGTCATGCTTTTACACTTAACTAGTGAATCATGCTAAGCTACACAGAGCGGAGCTCGCATACTACATAGATACCTTCGCGATGTTTACGCTTCACGAAATGTCTTTCTAACTTAAATTTCTTGGTCTCACGGTCAAGTTCGGGTAAAACAAAAACAAGATTAGCAATATAAAAATTATAATAAACTTACTAACGAATTAAAATCATACTTGAAAAAATATCTTAAGAGAAAATAGTCCTTTAAGGCTGTTGCATAACAGCAGAATAAACACAAAATCCGGAGAAGAAAGGTTCCGCCCAACCCCTAAAAGAGTACGTGCTAGCCGCAAAAGTTATCTAATTACAAATAAAGTACGGAAGATGAAAAGTAAAACATGCTTACACCTAAAGTCACCTCTAAGTAAAAGAGGTGTCGAGCGTGGTAAATTATACCTGTAAGACCAAAGCTTTAATGTATTCAAGCAATTGTAAACCTGCTGATAAGAAGCTTAAAACGAACCAATTAGTTTCACATCGGAAACTTGAATCGTTGTTTACTAGTATTCACGGCCGGAAAATTGTTTAGGTTTATGATAAAAATTCTGAAATTGTACGATTTTAAAATTAAAATCTTCTATCGAACAATACTTTTAGGACACCTCAACATTTCGAAATATTATTCATTGTTCGAAAAATTGTATAAATTTCTTGCGTTTACGAGACCCGTGTGGTTGATTCACCATCATTGAATAGTTGTGTTTCAGAATTTACGTCCAGAAAATTGCGAGGCTTTGCGTTTAAGATTCAGAAAATTATACGACTTAAAACAAACTCTTATACTGAAAAAACTTTTTAGATATATTAACACTTAAAATAGTATAAACCGTTCTAAAGTTTTGGTCACTATGTCGCAATTAAAGCCCCACTCGAAGTCAGAAAGATCATTTTGTTCTTTTCCAGCCATAATTTGCATCACATTTGCTCATGAAGTATAGTTATAGCTCCAAAGCTAATTTCTTCGTTTGAAAGAGCTACAATATATCGGGATGGAACAGGGAACAATGCTGAAAGGTATGAAACCTCGCATCCTTGTTCAGCACATGAAAATTTGTGTAAACTAAGTAAGTCACAGCCTCACGCGAAAGTTAGACACAGTATACGAGCAACATTACTAATGTAACTTGTAATTGTATGATAATTATTATGGTTGTAGTTATCATTTAATGTCTTCGCCCACGTACACTTATTCTTCAACAAAACGAAACCAAACGAATCTATACAAAACATGAAGCGAAGCAAAGCAAAAAGAAAGAAGCGATCAAAGCAAAACAAAGCGATAAAAAACGATTGTAACTCAATAACACAGAAATTAACCTGAACTAAACTTAAACTAACGCAAACTAGTAGTTAGCGTTCGTTTAAACTACTGCGTCAGTTCAGTTAAGTAAACTGAACTGACGCAGAACTAAACATGAACTAACGAAAACAAAATTAGCCAAACCCATAAATAAAAAATGCAAAATAAAACTAGCAAATAAAACAAAGGAAGCACATAATATAAAACTGATTAACTTAAGCCACGAAGACGCAATTATGTACTAACTTGTAATCCTGGCGCCTACAATGACAATAGTAACTTGATGAACTTCTCCTTTGCCAACAGCGCTCTTTTAGTTACCTTGACAATGTTTTCTCCATGGCACCGAACTTCTTTACTGATACAAATATTTTTCAGTTCTTGTTGTATCGATCTGTGCGATACGCATTGAAGAATGTTTCTCTCAAAATTGCTTTGAGATTAGATAATCTTGTTATAATTGTTTTTTCAGTAATATTTCAATTAAAAATTGCATGAAGTATTGATTGATTCATTTATTCATTTGACAGAAAATATCTACAATATTTACAATTCTCATATGTGAATATATACGATTTTTTTTCCTAGCAGGAAAGCTCATTAAGAAACCATGAGGCCTATGACTATGAGCCTACCCTGCAACTTAGTGTCAAAATACAGTTTACATGCGTGGACTGTTATATCATTAACGGAACATAGTTAAGATAAAAAGGACAAAAAAAGAGAAAAAAAGGAAATAAATAATATAAATGAATAAACAAACAATAGTTTCAAAAAGATACAAAAATACAAACTCACGCGCACAAAAAGCAAGCAGGAAGACACACTGAAGACATCCCACAAAAAACCAGCAAACTATATCTACTTTAAGAAAATCACAAAAAAGAGATAGTAGGGATTTTTTGTAAATTGTGATTGAGAGAAATAAATATTTTTGGTCCCTAAAATTTTAGGCCTATTTTATAAAGATACATATACTTCGCAGTTTGAAACAAACAATTATCAGGAAACTCCAACATTTGCAAGTCTTTAAAAGGGGAATCAGTGCTAGCATCGATTGACTTCTCTGGAGTGGCTTCTCTTCAAATTGTTCCTAGCATATAAGCATTGGGTTTCAAAGCATGATTTCGTTTGATGTTGTGGAGTCACTAACTACAATGAATAGCCAACGGTGAGGACAAGAATCGAGGAGTACTTGGAATTCTATTTGGATAGGAATGTATTTCATTCGTAGATTCCAGAAATCATCGCCGCAAGAAATGGGACATTTGAGATGCGTAATTATAATACATATTACTAAACATCTGAAGCAAAGTTATCTCTTTCACGGCCAAGTGCAAATGCACTGAAAGTTAAATTTCATTCAAGGATCATTACAAGTAAAGAAGGCACGAAGAATATAAGAGGTGATTTTAAATGACTAGTAACCCCCGACATTCACAGTATGCCGGCCACCAGATAACACATTACTTCTTAACTCATGAACCCCAACTTTGCAAGTAAATCGCTAGAAAAATTCCGCTTCGTAGAAACTGTACGTCCTTCGTCACTTACAAATGATATCGCAACTTTATTAATTGGAAAAGACTCCATGGCTACGTTTTAAAACAATCCTAAAATAAAGTATGAATAATCAATTTTTAGTAAATAATTGAAGGGTCTCTTATATCTGTTTAACTTTTGCTTCAAACGAAGTTTCAGCTCTGAAAAATATAAGATGGTTATGGAGGTGACACTGAGCAAAATTAATGCAAATTTAACGATAGTTAAAGCACGGAGAAAGATGATTGTGAACTTTGTAGGATAGTTAATGAGGGTATTATATCTACAGTCGCACGCCTCGTTTGCTTCAATCGTTGAAAAATTTATCAAAGTGCTTAGGATTCTTTGATTACCTCGACCTCGGTTATCCCAAGAACTAATTACAACGGCTTAAGAATTTTTGCAATTCAGGTTTTAAGTAGACATGCACCAGCCATTGATTCATGACTTTTCATTTATTGCAACTGAACCACTTTTGCACTTGATCCGGCTTGCCAATGAAGGTGTTGCAGAGTGATCAAACCTTATTTTCTCAGAGGGAGTCCACATAGCTTGTTTCAGAGATCGGTGGTGTCTTTCCACGGGGATGTCTTTCAAAAAGGAAAATTCACCAAATCAATGGTTTCAATGAAATCATTTTTTTTGTCGATAAAAAATTGCTAAGCAACATTTAACTTTAAGCTTTTGTCTCTGTCACTACGTCAGCTTAAACTAGGTTCGCTGACCTAAATATTTATTTTTCATTGTTTAAGTCGTTCCAATTTGCTTAAGAACTTTTGCAATCGTCCTCGCAACTCAGCGTCATACAAGAAAGTTTCGACGGTTGCAATTTTTGAATTTTAGCGTCTTGTAGAAACAAGTTATATTACTGCTGGAGTTCGGAAATCACCTGTTTATAAAAGTAAGTGCAACCTTTATGGAGACACATTGTATTTTATGAGTGAATTAGACAAGAAACATCATTTACCAACGGCACGGCGAGAGTAGATCTTCGTCCATTAACTCCGGGTCATAATGGAATTCGGAGTGTTGGTCTTAATCAGGCATGGAAAATTCAGTAGAAAACCTGGGGGAAACCATCGAAGCTGACGGAGAAGGAAGACAACCGAAAATGAACTCAGCACATGTGTTTAAATGCCACGGATTGCTTTGGCCGCTGGGTCATCACCTTTGCTTTGTTAAGTATTAGACCATCGAATACGATATCTAGATAGAAGCGTTCAATTGTAATTGTGCGAAGTAAATTCTTACCCCAGAGAAAGTCATTCTTGATCGATTCCGGTAAGGGAATGATTTGATGATATCCTTACTTTTTTTGTGATGAATAAAATGAAGCAATTCTTGAAACTGGCTTTCAGTAATGCTGTTCCCTGTGGCAAAAGATATGTGTGGTCACGTAAAAAGATATTGAAATAGTTTTCGTTAATTGTTGTTATTCTTGCTTTTCACAGAGGCCTTCGAGAAGATGTCAATTACCCACAGCTTCGCTATTCTATGTTTTGTCAGCCTCACATTTGGTTAGTTTTATCACAATGTTTATCGCATATATTTTCCAATATGATAAGTCCCAAAGCAACTGTTAGATTATGAAATAAGCTTTTCAATTAAAGACTTCTACCATGATACCATGCTTATGTAGTATATTTAAGAATTCTATTTAAATAGCTTTTTCCATCCTCACTACCCTATTAAGCTCTCAAATTGATGTACATAGCAACATGCGATCAACTTTTTTCTTTTCTCCTTTTATTTTCAGGACTAATTACCAACTGTCCAGAATGTAAGGGTAAAGGAAAGGATGCTCCTAAGAAATGTGAGGAGAATATCTCGACGGAGGATTGCGGGGAAAATCAAGTTTGTGTGGTGGGAAGTCTCCGTAATGGACGTATTTTTCATCGTGGATGTTTAACCAAAAATCAGTTCGAATCAAAGAAGGCCAAATGCGAAAAAAGTACAGGAAAACGAAAATGTATTGTTGCAATGTGTGATACACCAAACTGTAGACCTGAACTCCCATAGATAGGTCGCATCAGAAAATACAGAGAAATAATGCAGAGAAGATTTACAAAGTATTAAAGTATTGAATCAATTGAATAAAAAGGTTCTCTTCCCTCTTCGTCATGTATTCCTCGTTAAGGCAAATTACAGCCCGTCAACTTTCCGTCTGCATGACCTTTAGACTTGGTAAGGGCTGGAATATCACTTTTTAATTTTGCCTTCTAGGGTGGAATTGATGTGTAGCGAGGATGGTCACTATATTCGCAAAACAACTGAATATATGATGATCAGAAACACTGAAGTAGTGGGAGTAGTAAAAATCGCAACAATACTTTAATGCTGTTCTCAATGCCGCGTATGACTTTCCTACACGAGTAAAACTCTTTGCACTGTCAAATATACTTGTGATTCTGCTGATGTAAAATGTGTCTTGTATTAGTTGGAAATAGTTTCATATTTCATATTGCAGAAATTTGAAACGTCAACGCGAGGATCGCTTCATTGTCCTTGTGCATGGCTAAGGCAAACGAAACATAGTTTTGCTTTTTAAAAAATAGACTTGTTAGAGGAGCAAGAAGTAATCAGCTTCCATCATGCATGTGAAGGAAAGCTGTTCGTGATATTTAAAGTTGTGAAATCCTCGATGAGGTTTTAACTGGAGTGAACCGACGTGGCAGTTGTAAAGAAGAATAGATTGAAGAAATGCAAACCAATTAGAAAGGAGAATCTTAAGTTAGAATTGCGGAGATGTTAAATCCAATAGAATTCAAATGTCACCAGGTCGAGATTGTGGTCGTGGACAGCGCTGACCTAAAGCCATTCTCTTCAGCTAAAAGTTGCAGCTAACAGAGCAGAGATATAAGTTTAACAAATGTCAGCAGAGATGTAGGAGAAAAAAGAAGAGTTTTCAACCCCCCCCCCCCAAGAAAAATTAACCACAAATATTTTTGTAGTGACAAAAATGGAAATATCAAAATCGTAGGCCGTAAATTAGCCAAAGTTTAAGCGGTTAACCGTAAAAAAAGCGGAAGAAAGTCCTTGGCAAAAAAAAAAAAAAAAAAAAAAAAAAAAAATATAATTTTATTGTTAACTGTAGTTAGAAAGCTTTCTTCGGATGTATAGTTTACTAGGATTTTAGTGAAAGTAGAGCGCATACGAATTTTTCCCGAAGGACACCGCGAAGGTAGGAAGTAACCTTAAAAAGCTAAAGAATTTTTCCGATAACTTCAGTAAAATTTCTCACATATTTTTCTCCCTTACGGCCTCTGACACGTTTTGTATAGTCGATCAATATTCTTTATCCATGATTCACACTGTTCAGATTATTTTTCGAGCTTTTAAGCTCGTTGTTCAAATAGCTGTAGCTCATAAAGCAATGAAATCGAATAGAAACCTAATATATATGATAACAAAACGTTGAGCAAAAACCTCAAATAACGAAGATCGCTTCTAAGAATATGTTCATTTAGCTACCACCGAAGTTTGCTCTCAGAGAGGAAAACATCCAGACAATGGCGACTCATTAACCTATTGAAATCCAATAGCAAACTAATCTATATGTAACGAAGATTGCTTCTGCATGTGGGAACACGTTCTGCTAGATACCACCGAATTTTGCTCATAGAAAGAAAAGCATAACAATTAAAAATGAATGAATAAGTGCAACGAAACAGAATAAACCCCATGGCACCTTTTTGAGTTATTAAACAAGAAGTTTAATTTAGCTGCGGCACATTAACGGTGAGAATGGTTTTTCCTTCGTTCATTCCAGATTTTTAATAAAGATATAACTCATAATTAATAAGAATATTCAATGCAAATGTTCATCGCTCTTCTAATTCTGTGCACCTGCAGCGTATGAAAAACGATCCCAAACCTGAATAGTAGAGATCTATACAACAACGAGTTCGCAGAAAACCACATCTGCCCGCTTTGATGTCTATGTTTTCAGACTGCAAGTAACCTGACCAAATAAATCTATTTATAAGTTTATACCTGTTTGGCTTATATGATTTTTGCATTTTGAATTTTTTACAAAAACGCTTTTCCAATTAAGTGAATCAATAGAGCTGATGAAATAAATAATTCATTAGCATAATTTTCTCTGCTGATGAGAATTTTTCATTTCGACTTGTTGACATAAGCCTCACCATGAATAATTATACATAAGTTCTAACCGTTTTTGGTAAGAAGCCAACTAAACTAAGTTTTTTATCCTGAATGGGTTTGTTGTAAGGGGAGCAAAACGCCATTATAAATATTGCAGTCTCATTTCTTTTCATTAGCTTTTTACATTTTTGACGACGCCAGTTGCCAGATAATTCTCAATCAAAGTATGCGAATTTACTATTTATTTTTAATTATTTCTTGCGAAAAAAAAATCCATGCAGACAATTGTAACTCATTAACACATTCAAATCAAACAGAAACCTAGACGATACGAAACGTTGTGCGACGATCTCAAATAACAAGATTACTTCTAGGAACACGTTCTGCCAACTACAACTGAAGTTTGTTCACAGAAAGAAAATCCTCACATACAAAAGTAAGTGTAACGAAATTGAATCAACCCCGACACTTTATGTGTGTAATTAAACAAAAAGTTTAATTTAACCGCTACTCATTCCTAGTGAATTTTTTTTTCCTTCGTCCACTATTTCCATGTCGTAATAGACTTCGGAACATTGATTTTTATGGGGAAAGATAAAAAGGGCACTCAAGAAGAAAATCACCGGAGTTTATGAAAGATTTCAAAAGGGGTTTGGGGGCGGGGCTTTTATCGCTGCGCCTTTTTGGTTCCTCAGATATATTGAACCTTTAACTGACAGATAGGAAACTACGCACCGTGCCAAAGTGTCTCCTCATAATAATTTGGCTATGTTTCCGCCCACGACTTCATGGTCCAAACACTACTTCTTATGGCTAATTTTACTTATTGAGTAGTAAGCTTTTTCTAAGCTCAGTCAAATTGAAGCTAGTTTCAAACAACAACAGTCCATTTTATTTCTTCTTAATAAGTGACTATACACACCCAATTGCAATAACGTTGTCATTGAAAATAGAGAAGAGCAAAAATTGATTGAGAGATGACTCAAATAAGTACTATTCAGGAGTCTGCAAATGTTAATCGGCCATCTCACCATAGTTATTGGTTTTTCTCATCTCTTTTAATTAGCTTTTTGCATATTTGACGATGCCAGTTATAAACTGAGATATCTCTTCAAATCCACGTATGCGAAGTTACACTTTATGACACGTGATAACGTGATCACGATGTCTAACCACAACCTTTTTGCCATATTAACCAAAATAGTGTTCAAAAGAAACAATCATTTCCTAAGTAAGATTCCCACTCTTTTACTGCTCTGTCTCCATGCTGATCTTTGTACATTTGTTTGGCAATCAAGAGCTTTGAGAGCGAGACCTTTGACTCAGGATTGATATTTAAGGGATAAATTAGATGCTATTCACTCCTAGGGTTAAAGGGTAAAAGATTTTTTAGATGACTTCAACAAAATTTCGCAGTTTTTTTTTCTTCCCTACAACCCACAGCATGTTTAGTATGATCGATCAATATTCCTTATCTATGGTTCACACATTCCACATTATTTTTAGAGCTTTAGAGCTCGTTGTTCAAATTATCTCGAGAAAAATAAAAACATCCAAACAATTGCAACTCATGAACCCTTTGAAATCGAATAGAAACCAAATATATATGATAACGAAACGTTGAGCAAAGACCTCAAAGAACGAATACCGCTTCCAAGAGCACGTTCTGTTCGCTACCACCTAAGTTTGTTCACAGAGAGGAAAACGTCACATTCAACATGATTGCAGTCTCCTGAAAAATTCTCAAATTAGTTATTTCTTTACTTAATTTTTCCTTTTAATTTTCTTTTTATGACAACGTTTTTGCAATTGGGTGTGTATAGTCACTTTTTACGGAAGAAAAACAAATTGAATGGTTTCGTTTGAATGACTAGAACTCAGAAAAAGCTTATTACTCGATAAGTAAGTTACCCGTAAGAGGGAACCAACCCAAAAGGAGTGAAAATGAGGTCAGTGGGTTAAAGAATCGAAGCCAAGTTATCATAAGGAGACACTCAGTTCAATACATCAAAGGAACCAAAAGTGAGCAGTGATGAAGGCTCCACGCCTTTACCCCTTCTGAAACTTTTGAGAAACTCCGGTGATTTACTCCTCATGTTCCCTGTTTTCTCTTTCCTTTAAGACATCAATGTCCCAAATATCTTAATGACATGTAAATAGTGGACGGAGGGCAAAACATTTTCAACGTTGATGTGCAGCGGCTAAATTTAACTTCTTGTTTAATTATTCATCATAAAAAGTGCCGGGGTTTTTTCCGGCAATTTCGTTGGACTTACTTTTGAACATGGCAATTGCTCATCACTCAACTAAAATTCTGTGCATCCACAGGACATAAAAATGATCCCAAAACTAACTAGGAAAGGAGATGTGTACTATAAACAAGTTCCAAGAAAGTCAAATCTACCCGCGGCTTTAAGACTTTGAGAACATAAAGCTATTCGCAATTTCGTTCCTGTTTAGCTTATATCATTTTTGTTGTTTTCGTTTTATAAAAAAGCTTTTTTTTAACTAGGGGGATCAATAAAGCCGAAAATAAATTAATCATTAGCATGATAGTCTTTGCTGATTAGTATAAAGGGGATAATTTTCTGAAGAATTTCTAATATATAATTTTTTGCAATGAGTGCAAGTTATACAGCAAATGACATTGGCGGAGGTGCACGTACTGTCGATCAATTTGTTGGGCGCGGTGGTGGCCCGCTTGAACGACAGAAACAGGATAGCCACGTTTATCGAAAAACTGGCACATTGCCTCCGATTTTTCGGGAAAACCAGAGTCGTCACTGCATAAACGACGAAGTCTGAGAAATTGTCAAAAAGGTATGGAATTCTTGTCATGTGTGATGGATGCGAAGATGAATGCAATAAGTAACTATGTGAATCTGTAGGTTTGGAGTATACACTAGTGCATA